GTTTGCATGAAATGCCTATGCAAACCCAATTATTACCTTGTAAAAGTAGTAGTTACATCATCACTATGCTGTACATAGCTAGTGCAGAGAGGAGAGACGTGGGAGGGGCCCAGCAGGCTCCACCTACTACAGGCTACCTACAAAAAACTACAGAGTGGCCTATACAAGACCAGTCACTACAGGACGTTCCTGCACAAAGGCAAAGCCATGAAAAACAACGCCACACCATATTCCTCCCTCCACCAAATTGTACACTTGGCACAATGCAGTCAGGCAAGTACCATTCTCCTGGCAACAACCAAACCCAGACATGTCCATAGAATTGCCAGAGAAGCATGATTCGTCACTCTAGAGAACATGTCTCCACTGCTCTAGAGTCAGTGGCGGTGTGCTTTACACCACTGCATCCAACCCTTTGCATTGCACTTGGTGATGTAAAGCTTGGATGCAGCTGCTCGGCCATGGAAACCCATTCCATGAAGTTCACTACACACTGTTTTGCTAATCTGAAGGCCCACATGAAGTTCGGAGGTTTTTTGGCTATTGACTCTGCAGATAGTTGGCCACTTCTGTGCACTGAGTGCTTCAGCTTGCGCTGACCCCCGCTCTGTTATTTTACCAAGGCCTATCACTTCGTGGCTGAGTTGCTGTTGTTCCCAGTTGCTTCCACTTTGTTATAATACCACTAACAGTTGACCGTGGAATATTTAGTAGCAAGGAAATTTCCCGGATGGACTTATTGGACAGGTGGCAACCTATCACGGTACCATGCTTGAATTCAACTGAGCTCCTGAGAGTAACCCATTCTTTCACAAATCTTTGTAGAAGTAGTCTGCATGCCTAGGTGCTTGATTTTACACATCTGTGGCCATGGAGGTGATTAAAACACCTGAATCCAATGATTTGGAAGGGTGTCCCAATACGTTTGGCAATATAGTGTATTCATGTCCAGATATAAATTTTATGTGGAGTCCTGAATTGCAAAAATCCCATGCATTTCGGGGGGCAAAAAGGATCCCCCTTTATCAGTGCTTCTGTTCAACAGCCTAACAAACTTTTTTAGCCCCTGATACGTATTGAATTTTTGTGACTAAAATTATATCTGGATCCCACAAGATATACATCTGGTGCTTTTCTGTTTAAAGCCCAGTACACACCATGAGAAAATCAGATGAATGATCATCCGATTTGCCTCAAAAGTTCATATCAGGATGTAGCCAAGAATGTTATTAACTTGCATGAAAATTCTCGTCCAACAAAGGCAAACGTTTTATCTTGTGTACGATTTCTGTTTTCATTGCCACATTCTTCTGGGTCGTTCTTTGCTCCTGATCATGCGTGTTTTTTTTTTTTATTCGATTATTTCCATATGAAACACATTGTACACTTGAGTGAAAATTAGATGTTGTGTTCCCATGCGATACAAATTTTCTAGCTTTCACTTTCATTCCTCTTTGTCCAACAGTTGTAATCAGCTGCCGAAAGCACTGTACTATGAACAGATAATCGACCGATAGTTCCTTATATGGAAATTTTTGTACGATTTTCTTATTGTGTGTACAAGCCTTTAGAAACTTTATGGGGGTTGTTGTCTATGCCTTCCTATTTGTAGTGACACCAAGTCTCCTCATGTCTTATTCTGATTTCATATAGGAGTAAAAAGTGAGGGCAGATCTGCTCAACTGAGTCACCGACAGCCATAAAAACCTGACCGAGCTTCTATCCAAAATTAAAAAAAAAGGTTTTTGGCTGGGTTAAAGTGGTTGTAAAGGTTGAAAGTTTTTAACCTTCATGCATTCTATGGGTGTGGCCAAGCCACGGCTCTGTGTGTGTATGGTCACACAGAGCAGTGGGTGCCCCCATAGCAAGCTGCTTGCTGTGGGGGCAACCGACAGACAGGAAGAGCCAGGAGAGCCTGCGGGGGACCCTAGAAAGAGGAGGGTCCAGGCTGCTCTGTGCAAAACCAATGCACACAGCAGGTTAGTAAAGACATCTTTGTTATTGTGCAAAAAAAAAATGAACCTTTAGGGCTCGTTCACACTAGGCTGTTTTGCCAACGCTTGCCAAACGCCCCTATAGCGTTTGGCAAGCGTTGGTCCGGTGTTTGCGGAGCGTTTTTAACGCTCGGCAAACGCTCCGCAAACGCCGCATGCGCGGTTTTAGCGGCGGTTGCTAGGCGTTTGCCGAGCGTTAATAACGCCCCACAAACGCCTATAATGCATTTGAGTGGTGTTACCGCTCCGCAAACGCCCCGCAACCGCGTCGCAACCGCACCGCAAACGCCGGCCGGGCGTTTGCGGAGCGGCACCATAGACGAGAATAGGAGGCTTCAAAGCCTCCTGACTCGACCAGAGGCGTCCGTTTTGCCGCGACGCGACGCAAACGCTCCTGTTAGAACAGCACCATGTGCTGTAATGTGCAGAGTTGGCAGAGGCGTTTGGGAAGCGGTAAAAACGCTTCCCAAACGCCTCTCTGCCGCCTGCACACAAGGCTAGTGTGAACGTAGCCTTAGAATCACTTTAAGCTTGTTATATTATTGTTGATGGTTTCTCATAGGAAATATTAGCTTATTAAAAATAAATCTAATCCAAATTAATTAGCATTCTTTTATTGTATAAAAAAAATGAAAGCAATTGAGTTTTAAAGGATGTTTATTTTTATAGACCTACAGAGGAATCCAATAAAGGGATACAGTGCTTGGAATAATCAAATTGATGACATGAGCTGTCCCACTATGTTTCACAAACAATCCCACTATCACTTACTGCATGTGTGTAGTAGTGATGTGTGCCATTCATCCTTGTCATTGCAGCATGACATACTTTGTGGTGTGCTGTCAAAAATGGTATAGGTGCGATTTTTGTTTTGTGCAATGAATGGGCTGCTCTAATACGTGTGATAACGCACATGCATTTAACTAACTGTAACACACCAGGCTGGTTTAGATGGGCCCTTACTGTTCAGACTGTGTAGTCTGATGCAAAGTAATAGGGCACAAGGATTATTGCGTGCTATGTCATGCAATAATGTGCACTGTGTTAAGACAGCCGATTTATTTGCGTGTGCGCTAAAGAAAGGAGCACCAGATCACAGGATAAAAGGGTCCAAATTTGTTTATTAGTTTATATTAAAGAACAGTCAACTTGAATTTAGACCCATTTATCCTTTGGTCTGGCACTCTTTCCATTAGTGAATGTTTTTTTTCTAGTAACCTGCTGGGGTACCCACTGGGTGGGGGTGGGGGGGTAACCATGTCTGTTATGAGCAGCCTAACCTGAGCCAATTAACTCCTTCAATGTTTTTGTTCTCTCAGTACTTTGTATGAAATCATAAGTCCCAGCACCTCTTGGATGATTTTTTTCTTCATTGGAATTCATTTGAGTGGGTTGCTAGCACACCACACCAGACCTAAAAATTGGACATGATGGAGCCATTTTTTCTATGCAGTCCTTCCAGTATGTTACAGAGTGCTGCAACTAAGGTTTTAGCTTGTTGGGTACTATTCACAATTAATGGCATGGCAACGCACCATGGCAGATGATTTGTGGTAGCACACATTAAGACACATGTTATTACATGAAGCTATATGTTACTACGTGTGAAGCTGGCCTAAAGAATGGAGGAGTTTTTATTTTTTTTAATGAACTAATGAGCTGCAGTCTTTGCTAAAATTCCCTGTGTTTATAGCACACTGGGATCTCCAGTGATCCGACATGCAATCTGTACTGTGCTCCAATAGACAGTTTTAATTATGGAGTATGAGTTTTAAGTATGGAGTAGGAGGTTGAGCAGTGGTTTTGATCTCCAGTGCTCTGCAAGCACATATAATTGTATTAACCATTTGACCTCCGGAAGGTTTTACCCCCTTCATGACCAGAGCATTTTGCTATTCAGCACTGCGCTACTTTAACTGGCAATTACGCAGTCATGCAATACTGTACGCAAATGAAATTCACAGTATGTCATTTTTTCACACAAATACAATATTTTCTACTTTCTGTTATAAAACATATCCCATAAAAAAAAATCAGATTTCTTCATAAATTTAGGCCAAAATGTATTCTACATGTCTTTGATAAAAAAAAAAAATCCCAATAAGTGTATATTAATTGGTTTGTGCAAAAGTTATAGTGACTACAAACTATGGTATGTATATATATATATATCCCATTGACTTCTATGGGTCTCCTAACATGCTAAAAGCAGAAAAAAAAGTTTTCAAAACACGCTCACTGCAGCATAGAGCATTATTATGGGGAAATTGGACACATACATTTTAGCATGTAGCAAGCCATGCATTGAAATGCAGCAGTGTGAATGGGCCTTTAAAGTGGTAATAAACCCAAAACCAAAAATGTATGTACTTGCAGTTTACCAAGTCTTAGATGTGGTGGCTGCTAATTTTTCCTTTCATTTTCACCTTGTGATCCAGTAAGTATGTTATTTTTCAGCTTCTTTTGAAAGAGCAAGCTATCCAGCAAAAGTGACAGTTAATCACTAGCCTACAGGGTACTTACAGTATACCATCTTCCTGCCCAGGCCAATTTCCAGCTTTCAGCGCTGTCACACTTTGAATGACAATTGCACGGTCATGCAACACTGTACCCATATGAAATTTTTTGCATTTTTTTTAGACAGATAGAGCTTTCTTTTGGTGGTATTTATAATCACCTCTGGGGTTTTAATTTTTTCTTAAACAAACCAAAAACCACTGAAAATGTAAAAAAAAACAGTTTTTTCTTAGTTTTTGTTATACAATTTGGTAAATAAGTGATTTTTCTCCTTCACTGATGTGCGCAAATGAGGCTGCAGTGATGGGCACTGATAGGCTGCACTGATGGACACTGATAGGTGGCACTGATGAGGAGGCACTGGTAGGTTGCACTGATGGGCATTGACAGGCATCACTGATGGGCACTGAAAGGCAGCACTGATACATGACACTGACTGGCACTGATAGGCAGCACTGACTGGCACTGATAGGTGGCACTGACTTGCACTGATAGGCGGCACTGATGCGCACTGATAGGCAACACTGACTGGCACTGATAGGTGGCACTGATTGGCAGCACTGATAGGTAGCACTGGTTGGCATTGATAGGTGGCACTGACTGGCACTGATGGGTGACATTGAAAGGCAGCTCAGATGGGCACTGATATGTGGCATTGATGTGCACTGGTATGCACTGATATGTGGCATTGACGTGGCACTGATGGGCACTGGCACGTGGCATTGATGAGCACTGACTGCTGGCACTTATGGACACTGACAGGTGGCACTTCTGGGGCCGCACTGATCATCAGTGCCCTGATGATCAGTGTACATGTCCCCTCCGCGGAAAGCCGATTACCGGCTCTCCTCACCTCTCGAGCTGTCAGCGTGACAGCTCGAGAGGAGAGAAATGTCGATAACCGGCATTTCCGTGTTTACATGATATCAGCTCTGATTGGACACAGCTGATCACATGACCGAGCCGACATCTTCGGCTCTTTCCATGATCCGCTGTGTCCGAGGGACACAGCGAACCAGCGATCGCCGCGCTGCATGCTCCCTGAGCCACGCATGCGCCGTGAGAATGGAAGGACGTCATATGACGTCCTATCAGAACGAGAGAACCACCTTGCGCCCGTCATTGTACTATATGGCGGGCGTAAGGTGGTTAAAGGTTTATTCATTTATGTATGTAACGGGGCCATTGCTGTTTCCCTTTTAAAGAACGGTTTCCCTTTTAAGACTGCATGTTGTCAGAAAGGGTTTTGATTGGCTCAGCTCTCAGCAGTACTGGAGTGTTTGTGGGAGTTGCAGTTTCATTACAGAGGCAGACAATGTAACTTTATACTGCACAGGACTACAGGACCAGGATGCTTTGCAAGGAGGAAGGGGGGGGAGGAGCCATGTTGCCTTTGCAGAGGACATGGGGGAGCTAGTCTGCAGCCCCTACTGTGGAAGTACACTGACACTGTTTCCAGAGCAGCAGAGGTTGCTAGGGACGGCGGTTGTCTATAGCAGCTGAAGTCAGCAGCAACTGTGGTCATTGGTACCAGTCATCCGTGACGGCAGTTACCGACAGCAATGACATCTCCCACCATAGATAGAAGTCAGAGTGTTGGAAATCGCAGAGGAGGCGTGTGACCATCTCAGGTGAGGCACCTCGGAGATTGTGCAGCACCAACAATTGACAACAGAAAAAAACTAGCAGAGAGACAGAGCCCCCCATCGTTCCTTCATCATTCGTGTGGTGAGCAACTGCTAACCAGTGACATATCAGTCCTTAAGAGCACTCCACCGATTCACTAACACAGGCCAGTGCAACACATAGACTCACACAGTGCTACAATCCTACGGCATACAAGTGAATTTGGGACTGAGCCTAAAGAGATGTCAGTTAGCTGGGGACATATAGCTGCTGTAGTTGCAGGGGGTTAATTTTGATCTATAGCTATACCGGTATATACGTATATACATGAATATTGTGTTTATTGATATTATTGTGCCAATTCTAGAAGGTTTGTGTATTCAGTGCATTTAACTGCTATTTTCCAAGTTAATTTGCAGTCTATTTGCAGAGTTTGACCCTCTATTATTAAACCTGTTATAAAAACTTCCCACAAGGTGTACTGGTGTGCTGTGGATCCAATATATATATGGTTCATCAATGAAGTAAGGACAGAAGTGCCCATTAATTCCAACGGCTCCTTGGGGGTGAGCGCTACACGTATAACATTTATCCCAAAACGATGGTGATAAGCTTCAGTTTGTTAGTCAAGTCCATATGCAGGAACACCCAAATCAAAGAAATATTAAATAAAATAAGTGTAGGGCATACATGGCAGGGGGAATAGAGGGGTCAACAGATGGAAGGGTTAAAGGTTGGTTAGAAGGTTTAAAAGGTCAAAGCCTTACTTGATTGGTGGTTTACAAAGTAGGCAGGGGTCCTAGGACATAAAAGGGGGAGTGGTGCCACAAGTGTTCAGCTGGTGACCGGCTAGAATAAAAAAAAAAAACCCACCCTGTCTTGGTTGTGATTTTCGGTTCGGTGGTTGTCATGGCAGCCTGGTGGTTGTTGGTCTTTGGAGGAGGTAAAATTCAGGGCTAATTGAAGGGTTGGGGACGCATCGGTGGTATGGTGTCCTTGGGTACATTCCTGTTACCGAGGGGTAAACTCAGAATATGGATAATGGAAGTTACTGCGGATAGTGAGGATTGTCTCCAAGCTGGTGTGTTGCAGCTGGGGGCCTAGTATATACAAGAGTTTTTTCTGTAGAAAATAATAAGATGTGTTTAGTGCTAGCAAGCTTTCTTCCTCTGTATCTGGTGTGGTCTCCTTTTATCATCTAGGTCGAGTTTGGGGGTGGTGGCCTAGCAGGCTTGGGTTAATGTTGGGAACCTTTATTCTACACTTGTTATGTAAATCTGCTAGTCTAACACTCCCCTCTCACCAGACTGACAATACCGCTGTCCAAAGGTGTCTGCTACCTCTTCATCCAGAATGCAGACATCCTAGGACAGGAAGTATGTTACTGGCAGGATCACTAGGTGAAATTAAGGCAAAAAAGCCTAAAAAAAGAAAATAATGCAGATGGCACATCTAAGCATTGGTAAGCTGCAATGTACTCCATTTTTGGTTTTGGGTTTAATAGCACTTATTAGTGGATAGTAGGCACAGAGTAGGAGATAGTCAGAACACCTATCAGGTTTCTTGTCCCAGAACTACACCACCAGGGTTTTCACACAAAGGAAGCAATACAAAATACATGTTACAGCAGGCACATATCAGGAATATGAAGTGTTAGGTTTACATATTCTTTAATAGTGTACAGTATTTAAGCAGGGGGCAGCGTTTATCACATCGGCACTGCTCTCTGCATTTTCACAGACCACCCACTATTGCAGAAAATTAGGAAAGGAAGAGGACCCTGCATGTCACATGACCGATCAGAAGACATCAGAAAAAGGTAAGTAAAGCAAAACAAACATACTGGGGGAGCCACTTGTGTCAGAGGGTGTCACTTATAGAAACAGTACAGAGCCTGGAGTTGGGCTTTAAATGCAACAAGTGGGAAAAACTGACCATGGCTTGAATTCAGTCTCTTTTAATCTATTTTACTGTAGCACTCAAACCTGAATGAAAGAGGAGGGGCAGCACTTGGGGCCAATCAGGGGTATTGTATGTGCACATGCTGATAGGAAGAACGAGCAAAGGGATGTCCAATTCCAGGTTTGGAGCAAGGAGGTGACCTGGCTGTTGAAGTGATTCTAAAGGCTTAATGTGTTACTAAACCCAGGACCCTGCATTCACAATATCTGGTCTCCCACAGTACACAAAACATGGAAATGCAAATATTTTAGTAAATATAAATACTTTTTTCCCATCAGCAGTTAGAGCAGTCTTGTGACTTCTATCAGTGTCCAGCAGAGCACTGGTTAAAGCTTGTAGGATGAGTTTTTATACCCTGATTGTCCTATGAGGCTGCATAACCCCTGACCTTCTGTCTGGACAGCTGATTGGCCATGTGCTGATCACATGCACTCTTCCAATAAAAAAAAAACTCTTTAGCAATACACACCAAACTGAGCATGTCTAGCACAGACAGGATAAAACAGCCCTTTTACACAATACAGATTATTAACACCTTAGATTCCAGAGTGAGTATAACAAGCATGCTTTACTGCATATACAGACTGATTTTACTATTTTGGGTTTAGTAACACTTTAAGGTTTTAAATCTTAAATACCTACCTGGCTCCTCTCTTTATCCAGAGCAGACATTGGGAGTCACTAGCTTCTGCTGCTGTCAATCAAATCCTGGTGGGGGGCAGGGCTGAACCACATTATGTGTGTCAATGGACACACACTGTGCCCGGCTCAGGAGCAAGCCCACATGTCTTCCCCCATAACAAATGCTTGCAATGGGGGCAGGTACAGAAGAGGAGGGGCCTTGAGCACTGGCGGAGGACCCTGAGAATTTGAGGTTTATGGCCATTCTGTGCAATACCATTGCACAGAGCAGCTGAGTATAACATGTTTGTTATTTTAATTAAAAAACATTTTGCTTTTAATAATAATGCTTTAAATGCATATGAAAATGTCATATTGCCAGGCTGAATGTGCTGCCTTTAGTAAGATAAACAGCTCCCTTATATGTATATGTATTTATATTGTGTGTGTATCTGTTTGTCTGCAGGTATTATTAAATAAAGGACTATGTTAACCAGATTTATATATTTTGAGAGCTGTACTGCTTTAGCGCATGCATTTGCTTTTTTACACCATCCTTCAAGAATATATTGCTAGTGCACAGTGTGCAAAATAAAGTGCTCTTGTGCTATACAGCTGGGATTCTTGTCATTGACCTTACAACCACATTGTCTGACAAAACACTGGGCATTTCATATGTACAGTAAATAAATGCCCACAAAATATTCTGAAGGTCCTTGATCTTCTTTAAAAGTAATTTGCATAGATAAATTAATAAGTTTAATATTGTAACCTGTATGGTTGTTCATAGTTGGAGGTTCCATTAGCAAATGACAATTGTGAATCTTCCACAGGGTACTGCAATCTATAGTGGTTTACTACTATGTTCTGGTAAACTGTTTTCTGAGGCATTTTCTTCTACTGAGTCATTTGGTCCAGGAAGTCCAGGAAATATTACATCCAGCAGTAAAACTGGTGGATATGTTTCTGTACATTCTCCCTCTCCCACACCTTCGAAATCATCATTGACAACAACGCTTGACAAAAAGCCTGGTGATATACCGAGGCTACTGTCCATATTCGGAATTAGTTGAGAAACCATCTCTTGGAACTCCAACTGTGAGTTATTAGTAGTCTTGTTAAAAAGATCTGGAGTATGACTGGACCGATGTTCCATATTAATGTCTTCAAAAAAGTCTCCATAATGAACTGATAAGTCTGTTATTTCGTTGTTCTGCAGTGAATTAAAGAAGGCATTTGATAGCAATGGAGAGTCTGTGTTGGCGTTAGAAGTATGAGATTGACCGGCATAAGCTCTTGACGCAACATCCTTACTTTGATAAAGACATTCACTTAAATCCGAATAATTCATCAGTGGAAACATCCATGGGGAAAATCCCATAGTACAAGGACTGCATTTTTCCTTTCTTTCAGTTATTAACTGAATCCTGGATACCTTTTTTAACTCCTGTATTGATAAGAAAGAAATCACATTAAATATCATATATCATAAATCCTTAGAAAGGCATTTAATAATTCTACTATACTTCTATTTCTGTTTTACATTCTGTACTTAATGATTTCTAGTCAATAACCAATGGGAGTGGCACATTGACATTTAACCAATGTACAAATGTACCACAAATTACCTGTTTTTCATGTGAGGGCCCACTTTTTCTAGTTTTTGGGACCTTACCTTCTGGTTTGTAAATCTTTGAAGATGACAAGCAGATGGAGTTTCTATTAAAAGCATCCAATAATTC